ATATAGATGACTTGCTTTTTTTTTTTTTTCTCAGCACCACCACCTCGTGGCACGCATTCACTCCCCTATCGATTGTTTTGACCACGTTGAGTTCAGCGCCTAATGGTCTCTGTAATCTGTATTATCACCGGTTATACAGGACGAAATCGCCTGATGATTCATACGTTTTGGCTTCAACAACATTTCCTCCGATGCATCCACTTTCTCCATTTGGTTCTCCAAGTCCAAGACATCTAACAAAACTGTTATATTTTTCCAAATTACGGCCCCGTTTGGCAGGGCTTCTCCAGCGGCTTCAGGAGTTGTTTGGAGCCGTTTTCTGCCAAACGAGGTAAAATGAAACGGCTCCACCGATGAAGCCCCTAAAAACGTGCTCTCACAGAGCTTTGGGGTGGGAAGGAGCAAAAAATAGTGGCTTCTCCCGACTCCTCCTCCAGGCTCCTAAAAACATGCTCTCACAGGGAAGCCATTTTACCAAACGGTTTACCAAAACCGCTTCAGCTCCACCGGTGTAGCTGTTCGTGGAGCTGAAGCAAAAAAAAAAAATGGCTTCACTAGTGAAGTGAAGCCCTGCCAAACGGGTTACGTTGCCTCCTGTTAACCTGTAAAACATTGTAATAACACTAATCGGTTTCCTCAAAAAAATAATAACACTAATCGGATTCTATTAATTTTTTCCATCGCTACTGCAAAAGCACTAGTAATTCAATTCGTAGCGAAGCCCGGCATGGATGCTAACTATCGGCTATCAGCACCTAATTCGAGCCGACACCGTCACAAAGAGAGGTAGTGCTGCTTACCCGCACGGCCGCACCGCAGTTCGTCACCGTGGTGGAGCAGTCGCCACAGCCCACCGGCCCACAAGCCGTCACCTCGACACATCCTCGCCCCTCGCCCCCGGCCGCGGCCACATTGTCGCCGGCTCGTCAACACGCTCGTCTAGATCGGCCGCCGCATCGCGCCACGCCGCCATTTCTGTGCCCCTCGCCGCGCAGGTCACGCTGCCGATCCCCCGCCAGGGCAGCAGGCAAGCAGCTGCCCTCTTCTTCCATCGCCCAGGCAGAGTCACTTGCATTTTTATCTTCACCTTTTCTTATTCAAGTTCTGATCTTGCGATCTTCGTTGCCTTAGTGACTTTACTATGTACTGTAGCTGCCTAGTCTGCTACCTGTTGACGGCATCAAGCGTAGTGTGGGTGGGTTAACACCGAGCATTTCTGTTTCCGAAATGCGATTTACAGAAATCCCTGGCCTAGAAATGTTCCGGGTTTTGATATTTCTGTGCTTAATAGATCGGCTCCAATTTATCTCCCCCAGCTCAGGGCGGCAAGTGTCAAGTATTTAGGATACATTGAGGTTTACGTGTTCATCACATTATTTAGTGACATTGGATCGTTTGTCAGATTGCATGATGCTGTTGGCTACCAATAATGTTCCCATAGTATGCAATTTTGCATGCAAGAATTGCCTGGTTGTTGCCCTCTGATTTTGTGTTCTTTTTTTTTTCCCCTTCAGTTACTGATGAATCATTGTTGGCACATAAGAAACCCATCTTGAATCTAGGGATCTGGCGATGAAGAGCAAGAAAACTGTGCACGGATCATCATCCAAGAAGGGCAAGTTGTTTGGGGGCCTAATTGGTAGACATGGTTCTGAAATAGATCCATGTTATAGACTTTTCCTTGAACATTTAAGCAAAGATGGGAATAACTATGTCCTTGATGTGCCAAAGGGGGACCATGGCTTGCCCTTTTCTATACGGTATGAGGAGGATCATACGTCCTATGGAAATACTAAGGGCAAAAGTAGCCCAAATTTTCCCAAGCATTCACGGCGCACAAGTTCGGGCACTCCAGATGGCAAACGGCCTGATGTAAAAGCGGTCAAGGCTGCCAGCAGAAATGTGAGTTGCTCCTTTTCACCAAAGAGAACATATGTGAAGAAGAAGAAGATCACGACCTCATCAGTCGATGAATCTTATGAGTTATTTCTGAGCCTTGTGAAGTTCAAGGATGGTTTCATGGTTATTGAGCCAGAACCAGGTGTCACCATCGTATATGAGCGAGAAGAAGATATGCCAGCTGGATATGATGAATGGAGAACTGGCAGTTCCACAAATGAACTGCCTTTGGTGTCTACACATGAAAACATGGAGGAAGACTACACCATGCAAAGATATGATTGTGGGCTTGCACCTGCTAACGAAGTTGCTTCTGAACATGAAATGGCTGCACCTTCTTCAGAGAACATTGATGGTCAGGATATTATTTGCACAGATGAGCGTGGCCTTGTACTTTATGCTGAACCATCTGACTTCAATGTAAGATTCTTTTGCATAATTTCTGGTTCTCTTCAAATGATGCTGCCTGTTCTATAGCTGCCTTTTGGCCCAGGCATGTGAAGATGAACAAGCAACACCTCTTGCTATCAGTTACGGTGGTTCATCTACATTTGATGAAAAACTCAATGCTGTTTTAAGTCAACCATATGATCAAAACGAATACGAAGAGCTTTGGAGAAAAGCCACTGACCGGAAGCCTGTGAGCAGACAAAGACACTTCATGAAGTGCATCAAAGCGCTATGTTACAGAGGCAATCGGGCTGTCATATCTCGATTATTACCCAGGTATAATTACAAAGCTTGGTAGGGGAACTTGTTTGTCCTGACGTGTTAATTGAGCACATTTCTATCCATCTCCAGCCACTATATCCTGCTATCCGTATGAGTTGTAATAAGTAGTGTTGGTTTACAAAAGTAAAAGGCAGATTCCTGTAATTTGATCAGGTGGTTGAGAAGCATTTAGTAGCCAATTGTTCATTTTCCAATTGAGCTGCATTAGGCAAGTGATGTATGCTTTCATCATATAACTCTCACCACATAAGGAAACTCTGGAGGCCTCAGTCTTTCCTCCATCGTATAAATCATTTGTGTCCATTTGGAAATGAACTAAGTTTTTTTGTTGTTTAGTTTCATTACCACTAACATGATATATAGCAACCACAGAGAATAAGACCTTGAATTTTTAGGTAGCTTTAGCTTCGTCCTGGTTTTATTTACCATAGTTTTTTTATGTTATACATGTAATGGAGATACCTGTGGGCTTTCTTCTCTAAACTGAGATCTAAATTTTTATGTATGTGATGCCTATATGACCCATGCATTTTGTAATGCATCATCTCATGATTCTATAGCAGTATTGAAGGCCATGCTTTCAATGTTGTGACACAGAACTTGTATTTTATGAATTGATATCTGGCATGATATCAGTTGAAGATTGCATTTTAGTAGTTCTCGAGTAAGGTGCAATCTGTTATTTCATTGCTGTGATGCTAAATTATATATATGCAAGTTTCTATTTACCAATGAAATCGATTGATAGATTTCATTTTAGTACTTCTCGAGCAAGACTCATATTTAGTTAATCATGCAGATCTAGCCGTACAAATAAACTCAGCTGACTGTGATAAGAGACTGAGCCTACTACGAAAGTTCTTCTTCTGGTTGGAGGTGATCTAAGTTTACCACCCTTTTTTTAAACTTCCTAGTGCTTAAGGTCTCTGCTGGTGGAGTTGAAAATTAGTTAATCTGAAATTATTCACATGTGCTTTTCTTTTCAAGATAGCAAAATGTTGTGAAGAGATTTCACCCAATTAGTGAAAAAAACTGTTTCTTGCTGACAGCTACAGTGGTTTGTAAACAAATCGTCCATAATATGTTGGTTTAATGGTTTGCCTGCTTCATGATGCTGTGTAATCCATTTCAAATTCACCTCAATTTTTCTGCAAACACAAGGAGGATATTTGTTTCTTCATTTGTTTCGTGCATTGCAATAGTGGCCAGTGCCTCATTCTTTCAGATCTCTGGTGACTGACCCATGAATGCTGGCAGTATTATGTTAAAGAAAATGTGATGTTCTCCATGCCTTTGGACTGAAGTTAAATTTATTCTCATTTTTTTTTCTGCAGAATTTATGCCATGAGGGAGCCTACATGCCCTGGATCTCCAAACCTCTAGCTTGCAATCCCATTTCACCGGATGAGTATGAACCGATGCCCGCTCTCAAGACACGCGAAGATGAGCCCTAGGGGTGAGCAGTTAGCTGAGATTTGCTTGCAGCCTCCCTGCATCTCTGGTGCTACCTGACTGCTCCTTGTTTCGATGCATCAAGGCTCCTCACCTGCCGTGTGCACATGTCATACTTGTTATGACACCATTATAAAACAGAACAATGTTGTATTGGCATATTGGGACTTTGATATGCCTGCCGTAGGTTTAGCATCGTTGTGCAGCTCCATTTAGTATCTTATCAGCGATTTTTGTTTAGGATTCAGACTAAGCTGGGCTTGCAATCTTCAGTATTTATGCAGTAGTGCTGCACTGCCCCTCCTCCGAGTTTTCATGCTCTGTGGCGAATGTTTCAGTTGTTTGAGGATTAGTTCATTACCCTATCAATCCTTATGGGGAATGGTTTTATCCACACACACACACAAAAAAAAAAACAGAGATTGGGTATGTCCTTCTCTCACTGCCTGAAATAAGCATGGCACTACACTGACCTGATCTGCACACGATTACATCTGGGTAAAAATAAAATGAGTTCATGCAAATGCTGGAGCAGTTATTTTTTTCCGGCTATATTATACAACATGGCAACAAATACAGCATGGATATTGCAAAAATGATACTGCTAGCATTTTATCGTTACAATAGTCGTATGGATACAGGATTTTAAACAGCAGGATATATGTATAACCCTTAGGGCGTGTTTGGGACTGCTCCGCTCCACGTTTTTCAGCTCCGCTCCATGTTTTTTAGCCAAACGGTTTCAGCTCCACGCACTCTGCTCCAGGAAAAAGGGTGGAGTTGTGAGAGCACCTAAAGAGGTACTCCACAAACTCCAGTTTTTTGTGGAGCTGCTCCACGGTGGAGTTTATAGAGCAGAGTTTGTGGAGCAGTCCCAAACACCCCCTTAGTACTACTAATCGTATGGATGCAGGCCTTTAAACAGCTCCTTCCGCTCTGGCTGCGTTAGTAACTTCATCAACGGAAACAAGCATCTGCGCTACATCTTCCATGGTAGGTCGTCTGCTTCTATCTTCCTCCAGGCATGAAACAACCAGCATCATCATTATTCTTGCTTGCAGATAGTTGAAATCGCCATTCAGTCTAGCGTCAATGAAGTCAGGGATCCATGATTGTTCAGTGCCATCCAACTGCAGATTCTCATTAAGCATCCTGACTATCCTTCCAAGGACCATCTCCACTTCCTCATCCTCATTATTTTCCATGTCTGAAACACGGGCTCCCTTTAGTAGTTCCAGTAGCACCACTCCAAAGCTGTACACATCAACCTTTGCTGTAATCGGGAGACTAGAAACCCATTCAGGTGCTAGATAGCCTCTAGTTCCTTGGATCTTTGAAACATTTATGTTGGATCCACGTCTGCTCAGAAGCTTTGCAAGGCCAAAGTCGGTGATCTTTGGCATCAAGTTCTCATCCAGCAGTATATTTTCAGGTTTCACATCGCAATGGATGACCCACTCTGAACACTCATGGTGAAGATACGCCAATCCCCTAGCCACCCCTAGCGCAATATCAAATCTTTGCTTCCATAAAAGTAAGATTTCCGAACTCTTTATGTCAGATAAGAATTTATCCAATGAACCATTCTCAAAGTATTCAGAAACCAATATCCTGTGTGGACCATCGGAACAAAATCCCCAAACTCTCACTAGGTTCATATGATAAATCCTACTAATCACAGCCAGTTCATGCTGGAATTCTTCTTCACTTTGGTTTATTTCTGCCAATTTTTTCACAGCTACTGCCCTGTTGTCTTCCAAGACCCTTTGTATACAATGCCTGATGCTCCCTCCCAAGTTCATCCTTGAACTTTCTGGTTGCTGACACCAACTCTCTGTAGGTGTACCTGCGAAAATGATTAGTTACCATTTCATATCCAGGCTCAGCTGGCCATACTCCTCCCAGTTCCATGCGTTCCCTCCTCAAAATTAACCATCCTAATACAACAAACATTATCTCTGCCAGAAATATTGCTGATAAGAATCCATAGAAGTACAGAAACTTTGATTCACTCTGCTGTCTCTTAAGCATATCCAGAAAATCTGCTATGAAGTACTTATCTGTTGTAGTACAGTCAGGACCATACTTGGGACCAAAAGGTTGTGATTGCGGAATTGAGGCCTCCAACACTTCTACTCCCTTGGGAACCTTGATGTACATGGTGCCAGTAGTACCAATGTGATGCAGGGTTACACCACCAACAAGAGCAAACTTTGGATAGCAGTCGCCGATTCCTTCCCAGTATGCAAAACCCTTACAATTGCAGTCATGCAGGCATTTGTTCATGCAAAAGTCAAGAGAAACAAAACGATGGGCAGCCATATCATACCCATTGAAACCAGTGTGGGGTAGCTTAGCAAATTTCACCTTCTGCGCGTCACAACTGTTGTTGGTCTTTGGTCTGCAGCCTTTGCTCCGCTCACTTGGGTCGATGACTTCAAAACCAGGGGCACACGCACAAGCAGGCACAGGCGTATACACACATATTCCGTTTTCGCCACACAAACCGCGCACTGTGCAGAGCTGAGGAAACGCCATCCATGTTACTGACCATGTTCCCTCTGCCTTATTCAGACTGTATAATCTGAGGTTGCCATCATAATCCAGTGTTAGCCTTCTCATGGTGTGACTGCCCCAGTCAGCAGCCATGAAAGATGTGTTATCACTTCCGCGGAACTGCCCCAAGCTGTCTAGAACACCGCTTGCGTTGATCATGAATGGTATCCTTAGCTTTTGCCAGATAGTCCAAGTGGGATCTGGCCAATAGACGAAAGAGAGATCCTTTTGATCATAGAACAGTGAAATCAAGACTTGCTCATCAAAATGTAAGCTGTAGCGGCCAGGTACAAGCAATCTATTAATGGACACGAGCTTGCTGGTAACATTAATGGTTTGAGTGGGTAACAAGGTATCAGTAGGAGAAGTAAAGCTTTGCCACAGAATGGTGTCACCTTTGCCCTTGACGATGAGATTCCCAGTGTCCAAGAGCTGAGCTTGTTCAGCATTTGAGGAGCTCACGTTGTTGCTCCACACAATCTGGCCACCGTAGTCTCTCAGAACCATGCTCCCATCGAAGCTTAACTTCACCTTTGATCTCCAGGTGTACACAGGACGAAGAGGATTTGCGCTCCAGACGATGGTTCTTTCAGATGCATTGGCGAACCAGATGGAGAAGGTGGATGCGTTGGGGGAGACGTTGTAGAAGCCACACATGAATGTGCCATCCGGCGAAAGGAGCACGTCGGAGCTGCGCTCTACGGAGAGAGAGGAGCCTGACGAGAGGACATTTAGAGCGGAGATTTGCAAAATCAGATGAATCAGAGTGAGAAGAAACACAAGTGTGGAGACTGCACCCATGGCCATTGCAGCATTTGAGTTGACCTGGATGGAGGACGCTCTTATAGATAGGACCCAACTTGCAATGCAGTGTCGAGCCTCCAGAAGCAATTGCGAGACTTTTCAACAGCAATGAAGTTAGTCACCAGTCGCTATACGATAAATAGTGAATGGAGCAGTGCAGTTTTTTCTTTATATGAAAAAAAAACAGTGCTGTCTATTGTAGTACATGCTTTGGCGTTACAGAACAGAGTATCTTTTTGGACTGAGAGGGACTGCACTACTGTGACTGGGGTCTTATCATAATCAGTAAGCCTCCAAACAAAAATTGAAGGAAACCATAATCTATCTATTGTTAATTTTTTTTCTCAAATGAACATTAAATTATTTGTCTATGTCAATAAGATTTCAAGTTATCTGTTAAATATTTTGTATGTCAATTTCGCTGAGAAGCCCCAAACTATGAGCGAGCCTACTTTTTATAGATTCGGCTCTGGGATCCATGCACGATTGCTACTTTGTAGGATAGAATAAAGTGGTTTAACCATATATTTTTAATCTAAAGTAACACTAAGTTACTTAGCTTCTATGTGTCCAGAGCTGCAACGACTCTAAATGAGCAGCTCCAAAAAAAAAAAAAATAGTTAACATGCCCTATATGCAACAAGGTTTGGTTTCACCACGGTTGTACATAGACATGCCACTCACACCGCAGGAAGTTAGAAACTGACATGTAACAAAACATGAAAGAGAAATCAGTAGATGGGTAGTTGAAATATGCGTATCCTCTCCTGTCCTAAATTATAAGTCATTCTAACTTTTTGGAGAGTCAAAACATCTCAAGTTTGACTAAATTTATATAATAAAATAATAACATTTATGATAACAAATAAGTATCATTAGATTATTCATTAATTATATTTTCATAATATACCTATTTGATGTCATAAATTTTTGTAATTCTCTTTATAATTTTGGTCAAATTTGAATTGCTTTACTCTCAAAAAAATTAAAATAACTTATAATTTAAAATGGAGGGAGTTCAACATTTGAGTCGATGATTACAGTGGCGCCATGATTAGTTATACTTTTCAACATGCATATATCTATCCATCCATATCCAATATAATTGAAGCTCCTTATCAAAATAATACATATAATAATTGAGGCTAATAATTGTAGGAGTGGCATGCAGTCGATATCCATACAGCTGCATGCACACAAGTTGCATGAAGAATAGGTGTACGAGGACAAGGATGAACATGCCTGGACAAAAGCCGGTGACTTGACTTGCCGCAGATTTTTTTTTTCGAATACGCAAAGGATTTGCGTATCATTGTAGATAAGAAGAGAAGTTTAACCATACAAACGACGTGCTCTGACGAGCGTCCTAGGAGGTCTATTTGACCATCCTAGTATACAAATTCAAATTTCGATATTACATAAATAGTACACAACATAGTTGCGGTCTGCGCGCTTCTACTCCGTCATCCGAGAAGAATGCGCCGGGGTATGAGCGGCTCTTTGCCCTTGCCACAGATTTATCTGTTCCAGTCGTCCAGTAGCATGAGCACGAGCACCTCGTGGAACTTTGGAAAGCCTTCTGCATTCTGCAAAGCTGGAAACCCGTCCAGCAACTACCTCTGATATGATACAGGCGCTACTGTTTCATGTTTAAGTTTACGGTTATACTTCGCGTCTGCCTATCCGGACGCTCTTGTTGGCGGGCCATGAGCCTAACCCCCTACTATTGCTCATCCATTCGTTTCTCTATCCCATCATATCTGCTCGTTCACTCGTTTCTTCAGAACCAGTCGCGTAGAAATCACCCTAGCGTCGTGATCGTGCTCCGTCGCGTCACCTCCTGTGTCCGGGCGCTCGCCGGTCGGCATCTCTACCACGTCCGAGCGTGGTCACCTCCCTCCCTCCCACTCCATCGCGTCTCTCTGGCCGCTTCCTACGCCACCACATGGCACAGCCCTCCGTCGACGGTGCATAGTAGACGAACTCCTGTTTGTTGTGGGTCGTGCTATGCCGACTACCTTGACGTGCCTGCGCCCCCTCCTCACGTAGATGTCTTTCGCGTCGCCCACGCTGATGGCTGGCCTGCTCGTGGATGATCTTGGACGGCAGCGGCATGGTGGCTCGGCGCAGCGGGGCTGCGCGCGCAGCTGCGCTCCCTCTGTGCGGCAAGCAGCAAGGAGATGTTGCGCAAAACTGTATGTTGCAAGCGTATGTTTCAATTGTTTCAGATGTTTTCAGAGGTATGCTGCAAGTGTTTCGCATGGATGTTACAAAAGTAGATCGAGATGTTGCATATGTTGCAATGGCTATACATGCGTGTCGCAAGAGTCTGTTCCAAATGCTTCATCTGTTTCTCAAACATATGTTGCAAGTATTTTATCTGGATGTTGCATATGCTTGCAACGGCTTTCAAGTGATTTCAGGTGTTTTGCAAGTGTGTCGGGGACCAAATACTGGGGTACCCAAAGAGGAGGAGCTAATAACCATCAAACATTGATGGTTCCGAACAGACAAGAACGTAACTACACTTCTTGCCCACCGACCGAAGGTTGGCTCTGCCTCGCCCGACCCCTGAGGGCTGGCTCCGCCTCGCCCGACCCCCGAGGGCTAGACTCCGCCTCACCCGACGTCTGGGGGCAGACTCCGCCTCGCTCGATGACTGAGGGCTGGCTCCGCCTCGCCCGACGTCTAGGAGCAGGCTCCGCCTCGCCCGATGTCTACGGGCAGGCTCCACCTCGCCTGAAGTCCGAGGGCTGGTTCCGCCTCGCCCGATGTCCGGGGTCAGACTTCGCCTCACCCGACGACTGAGGGCTGGCTCTGCCTCGCCCGATGTTTGGAAGCAGGCTCCGCCTCGCCCGACGTCCGAGGGCTGGCTTCGCCTCACCCGATGTCCGAGGGCAGGCTCTGCCTCGCCCGACATCACAGGGCGGACTCCGCCTCGCCCGATGTCTGAGGGCGGACTCCGCCTCGCACGACGTCTGGGGGCAGACTCCGCCTCGCCATAATTACGCGCGCAGATAAGGCGGGACACTCAAGTCAACCGCAATACCAATAACCATACCCTGCACGCCTGCAGGAAAGTACCATCAGGATATGACCAGACATGCACTTTAAGCCCTTCCAGGCATGTTAGAGCCCAAACAGTGTTGCGGGCGCTGACATTTATCCTACAGTGTTATGGGCGCCGACATTTGCACTCGGACACGAATCTTGACGGAAACATACGACAACCACTACGGTCTAAGAAGGAAACTCATGTCATCTACAGTAACAAACATAGGGCCTCTACGCCGTCTGCTCCCCATAGGGTCATGGCTCGGCACCCTGGTGCGTCGCGCCCCCCGTCGGGGCGGGACGGGACGTGACCACTTGTTGAACGAAGCCAGAGTACGGCCTTATCAGGATCAGCGAGCGTGCTATCCCTAGCACTATCTGCCGTGTCAGTGGGACAGGCTCAAAGGAAAAGGAAGACCCGGCACCTTTGAATGACCTTCTCTGCATCTAGTTTTTCCTCTTTCTCCCATCTGTAACCCTCGCTCCCCCTTGATATATAAAAGGGAAGGCAGGGCACCCCACTAAGGGGACGGATCAATTCAACACATCATGCATCACATAACATACAACTGAGCAGCAACCAAGCTCTCAGCGCCCTTTCCACCTTTCTATCAGAGACTTGGGACATGCCCCTCTCTTGACCATTTGTACCCCCTACTACGAACCTTTCAGTGCTAATAACACGAGCAGCAGCCGCAAACTAGACGTAGGGATATTCTGCCCGAACTAGTATAAACCCTGTGTTCTTTAGCACACCATCCGGGCCTAACGCGCAACAAATACAAATTTACTAGTTGGTGTTTACTCGAAACACCGATAGTTGTCGTGCAAGGTAGGGGACCTTTGTGCGTTTTGACGTTAACATTAGGCCATGGATGGCTAGCCATGGAATCAGCTGGGTCCCGGGCGCACACGTGCGCTTTGATGACCTGGACTTCATCGTCACGGTGGGAGGAGAGTTGGCATTGGCTCACACCGCCATCTAATCCCTCCTCTCCATCGGCCTCAACTACGAGATGCTTGAGCGCCAGCTCAGTGTCTCCTTGGGACCCTAGTAGTCCAGGGAGGACCAGCGCCACCTCACCCTTTCCGATGCCAATGACATGGCACAGTTCACTGGGGGAGGATCCCTCTCTCCGGGACACCACATACGGAGTGCCTCGACAACACTTCCGTTCGGTCTCCGCAATGCTACGGCGACCGTTAGCCACCTTGTGGCACAACACATGGTCCTGCCGCCCATGAACAACGAGTTCGTGGGGGTGATCGAACACGTCACGAAATCTCTCCACAACCTCCTCGCAGAGGAGCCAGGGTCGTCCTCTGGCTCTGACTCTAGCAGGGGGAGCCATCACCCCTCCCGGGAATGCTTCATGATGGGTACCCCCGAGGGACACATTGAAAGCGTCCCCACAGAGGAGGCTACCCTGGCGGGCAACCTCGGTGATGAAACCAAAGAGGAGACAGCGGCCCCACCTCGCATGGGGGTGGAACAGCTGGAAGCCCAACAGCGGGAGATCGAGGAAGCATGACTCCAGCTTGTGCAGGAATATGCGGAGCTCGATAGGGAGATCGAACACCGCGAAGACGGTGGGCGCACACGTGCCACGGACCGTGATGTAAACCGAAGGATCATCGCCGATGATGAAGCCCTTCCTCGCTTCACCCGGGCGAGCAGAACATCGCCGCCATGACAGCCTTGCTCCATGGCCTTCTAGAGGCCGCAACGCACGAGGATCGTTGGGCCCACCATGAGATTCGCACACTGCTCGAGCGTGCGGCGATGCAGTAGGCAGAAAGCTCTTTGTCTCGGCGACGCGAGCTCGACACTAGCCAACACACGCTCTCCGGGCGTCCTGGCAGGGACGCGTCGGTCCACTAGACACCATAGGGCGGCAGGCAGCGCGCCGCAGTCCCGGTGCATCAGCGTCTCGGCTGTAACAGCGACA